GAGCCCATTCATCAACTTGAAATGAGCACCTCGCTGCAGTGCCTGGCATATGAAGGGCTGCTGAATTTCAAGTAGTTCTGCTGCCAGTGCTCAAAAAACACACACTGAAGAAACCTTCCTGTCTCCCAAGCAGACTTGGTGAGTCTGTTCTTAACACTCACCTTCCTGTAGCAGACTCCCACTGGGTGATTTAAACACACTTTTTAAAAGGAGTATTTAAAGAACTACTGAATCATCATGAATGTCTTAGAAAACATGATCTCCACAATGTACAGATAAGAGAATGTGCTTTGATATTTCAGCCGATTAAATAACTGTCATCAAAAGCTCGTGCTGCTTTCCCATGCGTATCAGTCAGGGCAACAAAAGATATCATCTGTCTGTGAAACTCTTATACCCTTAGACTTTCATCACTGCTGCTATTTCAATATATTGTCTTTCAGTTGTCTAAAAAAAGGCATCCGAGTGAATGCAGACTAATCTAACAAGTCATCTCTCTGTTTCTCAGTCGTAAAAAAAAAAATTCACTGCAACATCAGCTTAGAAGTTGAGTAACCAAGTCTGCAGCTTGGCTGTTAATTGTGCCCTGACCCAAGAGTTCATGCTCCAACCTCCCGGCAAACACAAGTTCATCTAATTCTCAGAAAAGAGGTAACATTTAATTGCTTAGAATATAGGAAATGGGTGATTCTTTTGAAAAAAACCCCCACAACAAAACAAACCCAAAGCAAAACAGAATCCCTCTGGGTTAGGTTTTCAAAACAAGACAGTAGCCAAAAGCTCTTAGATTGTTCTGAAAGATGAGATTTTGTTTTTCCAATTAAATCTAAGTGTTACTTTAATATACTCTGCTTCTGATCTTGTTCTTTGTTGTCTCCCTCACAAATAAAATGGACATTTGCCCTAAGACAAGTATGTCAATTTATGTAAAGTTCATTCTCTCGTGTTTGATATAGTCATGATTTTGATATAGAAGTCAAACATGCACTTGATTATTAACTTCCTATTATAGGTGACATTATTATTCTGAAAAATAAGTAACAAAAGCTAACGTAACAAAGTTTATGATCTTGAAAAGTTTCTATTACTAGAGGAAAACAAATAGAAAAAAACCCCCAACAAAACAGCATGGCAGTGAAGCAGTGAATTTTAGCATATCTAGCTACTCAGAAACTGAAGATCTGCATTTACAAAAGAAAAAGGCATATTAGAAAGTGTCCTCCACGCTTTAAAATACAACATCAGCAGTATCTTAAGGGTTAGGTGTTCAGCTAAATACTACAGCAAAAAAAATCCATCTTGCCTATCCAATAATGCAAATGCACCTCTCAAAGGGCGGCCATGGGATGAAAGAAATAGGGATACACTTCTCAGTGTAGCCCTTGCAGCCATACTCTCATGTTGTAACAGAGAGCACCTCGAGGCAGGTTAGCAGTGCACCTGGCTGGAGTTTGTCGGGAATGTAAGGTTTGGACTTGCCAAGTTCAAAGCTAGGCCAGGCAGCTGCTGGTTTTGTTCCTTCTGTGAGCTTTGTAACAATTCCTTCCAAGAAGGACTGATATATGCTCTGGCCATGACCGGAGCATCATCTTGGATTAAAAATGTGCTTTCCACTCTGGGTAACCATCCCGAGTCTTTCATGTCCCTCTGCACATTGGACAGACAGTGTAATGCAGAATGTAACATGTGAAAATCGTCACCCCATCAAGTCAAGTGTGTGCTTGTTTCGGCAGGACAGATCACACAGGCTATGATCAAGGAATAGGAAGACAGCTCCCATTTTTTGGTCAGTAGCTGGGCTTTCACAATTTAAAAGTTAGCCAGCAAAATTTCTTGTGAAAATACCCCCAAAGCCGTGCAAAATGATGGTTACATGTTAAACAGGCTCAATGAGTTTATACTGTCTGCGTCTATCCCATTACAAACCTGTTCCCTACAGTACAGTAAACATTATCTGTATCAGCTGAGCTTTGTGCATCCTGTGGGAGAACCAGTAAGAAATTAATGGTTTTCATTGTCAGGCTGTTTCCCTTCCTTCCTCCTGCTATATCCTCTCAAGCTCCCATCTTCCTTGCTTTCCTGTTCTAGCTCTATAAATCACTCTCCTCCTTGTGTATCTCATGTTTGCCTTGAAACTGCATTCCTCTCAGCCACTAATTTTTAAATTACGAAAAGAAACAACAGGATTTCTCTGGCAAGAGTTACTCTACATAAACTCTGGCTGTTGACTGTTTGTGGTTGTGCTGCTCATTTAGGACTAAAGTGCTGGCAGTGCATGCACCACCTTCATCTTTATGTGTTCTTTCCCTCAAAAGCAGAGTAGCCTCATCTTCCAGCTTCCTCAAGCCAAGCCAAACCAAAAAATACATCCTTCATGTACAGTGACTAACTGAAGCCAAAGCCTGTGGAGATCCAGCAACCTGCACAAAGAAATTCTACAACATGCCTCACCATGCAGGTGCAATAGTCTTTTGATGGTTAAATACAATAGTTGAATTTGAGTCCACTACAAGGTAGATTCTCTTTACCTGAAGGAACATTTGAGCTCCATCATCATAACTGGCCCTGTGGCAATCACTAAAGTGTGACTTGTTTATCAGAGAGCCTTCTTTGCAGAAGGTAGAGTTAATTAAAATAATACAAAATATTACAAGATAAAGACCTACAGAAGGCAAGCAGAGAGCAGATCCGGAACAAAGCCTGCTAAACCACACAATCTGCTGCACAGACTTTCAGTCAGTTGGGGTAGCTCAGGACCTGCTGACCTGAGGGGAGCACTGGAACCCCACTTGGGTGTGGTCTGGATAAAATACAAACATGGAAGAGACACATTTACACACAAGATTTGGCATTGCCACTGCAACATGAATTGCTCTGACAGCAGAGATCACTACAGGAGCTTTATTTCTCGACATTCCCTGTTAAGTATATCCCCTGAGCAAGCAGGGGAACACAAATGGTTCTTGATAGGCATAATTGCTGCCAAAACTATTCTTTGGAGGAATCAAAAATGCAACTTTATCCTACATAAAGAAATCCATACACGTGCTTTATTAGCCACCCACATAAGGACAAAGCAGAGAGGCTGAATTTCATTTGGTTTTCATTTTAAACCTTGCATTTCAAGCACTATTCCTCATGTTGGTCCAACTGACCTTGACATTTTTATATTATGATGGAGTTTAAGTGGAGCCCAAAGATAAAATTCTCTCTTTGGTTTCCTGCTCCCTGTTCCTGTGATACTTAAAACTGGTGAGTACAGAGTATCTCTGTGATAGTCTTACAAACAACCTGTGGGACAGATTTTAGATAGTGAGCAAATATAAATGTTTACATCATCTGCTTCTTTTATACAGCTGCAACTCATTCCTTGGGCTTAATACCACAGTATTTTGCTTTAAACAGTATTAACTGTATGGCAGATAAATAAGCACAAGAGGATGTAATTTATCTACATTTTCAATAAGAGGTTCATGAAGTCCCTGCTAAAAGGCCATTAAAATAACATAGAACTATGAATGAGAAGATCCTGTCACCAAGTAAGCAATGAAAGGCATAAACAGAAGAGAAAAACTCTCAAATGATCTCTCGACAGCACAGAAAGGATACTGGGCTCCACCCCTGTGTTCTCCCAGGTAAGTGACAGAACTCTCAGCATTCTGCCTGGCCTTTGAAGATGTGGAAGTGAGAGGGAATACAGCAGCACGCATTTACCTTCCATCAACTGATGTATAAAGCCTCCCAAGTGAAAAATTAAACAGGGAGTTTTAGGCAAAGAGCTGGTTAAACAAAACCCACCAAGCCCTGACATCTCAAGAACACTTTAGTAGCAGACGAGCGCTGAAATGCCCACAAAGACTCTTGGTTTCTGCTGTGATGGATTAGCCTTCCAGAAATAAGATCTGGACAATGTGATGGGCAGCACTGTGCTCAGTTTTGCAGAGACAGAGTGAGCACAACCAAAATTGATAACAATAACATTGAAAATGCTATCCTAGGTAAGTCAGGGGCATGTCCTCCAGATGCTTACTGCTGTCTGATGGCATCTTACTACCTACAAACCACAAGATGAGCCCAATTAGTGAAGATCTGAAACATTTATAAACAAATGCTATCAACAATATAGTATAAATTTCTTCCCCCAAAGGGTTATGAAGCACTGGCACAGGCTGCCCAGGGCAGTCACGGACTCACCATCCCTGGAGGGATTTAAAAGGTGTGTAGATGTGGCACCTGGGGACATGGTTTAGTGGTGGACTTGGCGGTGCTGGGGGAACGGTTGGACTTGATGACCCTAGAGGTCTTTCCCACTTAAACCATTCTGGGATTCTACAGCAACAAAGCAGAGCAGGTTTTGCCTTTCCATGTACAATCGTACAATTGAGGGAAAAGTACGTGAAATGTCGTGGAACAACTGAGATTAAGAAGAATTTATCACACCTAAACCCTGTCTCTTCTCCACTGAGGAGGGTGAAAGGGATCAATTCCACATGTGGAGTTATTCCAAAAATCAGGTAGTACTAAAAAGATTTTTTTAAAGGAAGCATTTATTTCAATTAATAAAAGACACAAAGAATAATAATTAATTTAATGTCTCAGTATAAAAAGACAGAGGAGGGATGACTAATTAAGCAGTACTACCTCTACAAAGAAGGAAAATCTACATCAGAGAAGTGACAGGTGTCATAGATGTGACCATAATTTGTCAAAACAATATTTTGACCAAATTTTTATATCTGATGCAAGGGAGTTACTTCCTGTGCAAGAGCAGAACCTGGCCCACCTCCTTTGACCAGGCTGGGACTGACTGCTCAAGTGCAAGAATTCCAGGATATCTGGACTAAGGCCCACATCAGACCTGCCCCACAGGGAGCTGGTGAAATCCAATAAGGAACAAGTAACGAGAGTCCTTTGATATATCCTTTGAAAAAGGATAACCTAGCTACCTGCAAGCAATCCTCTGTGGCTCACAAAGAGGGTAAACAGTGTGTGTTTCCACCCTGGCAATCTGTCCACCTCCTCTGTGTGTCCTGCAGGGTTATAATGCTCACCTCTGCTTCTCCTCCTTAAACGAGGAAAGCATTCCAGAGTCAGGGTGAGATGAGAATCTGTATGTTTAAACTGCCTAAAGGTTATCACAGGCATTTGGAAGAACTGCCCAGATTCTAACCATATGTCACACTAGAGACAACTACTTTTCTTTTTTAATGAAATACATAGTCTTGAGATAGTAGCTATTACTGGCCCCTGACAGACAAGCACTGGTAATAGCAGCACCCTGCTCTACCACTGGGTTGCCATGCACAACCATCACTTGCAGGAAGATGGAATACTTCACTCGACATTTATTGCTCTCAGATTAGTAGGACTATAAATTAAGAAACTACTTGCAGCCAAAATGTGACTCTCTACGCATAAGAAGTCTCCTGTAAATGCACTGTGATGTCAACAGAAATACTCACTGCATAAATGTAGACAAATCATTACCAAATGAAGCCAAATATGCTTCATGACAGCACAAAAAAGGAAGAAATTCCAGGCCACAGCTCTTCTCTGTATTTTAAAAGGACTCAGTAGCTGCCAAGGTCTCTGCCTGCCTTGCCCTGTCAAGGATTTTTCAGCACCACTTCTGAGAGCCATGGGTAGGATCTTGCTGCTGAGTTGGGTACCCAGAGGCCAATAAAAGCTTGGAGGAAGGGGCCACTGGTCTTTGGGACATATTTACACAATGACTTACAGAAGGAATTCTTGGTCCACAGGCTCTATGGGAAACATCTCCTGAAGTGAAGAAAGGTCATAGATTTACCACAGTGAGCCTCAGGGGGTGATACAGGGCACCTATTATGTGTAAATCCTCAAGACTGTAGTCCTAAACTACAGTGTTCACATGGAATTATTTTTCCTCAATGTTTATACTGTAGAAAAAAAAATATTGCATGACCAGCAGCATAGTTCAGCCCTGAACTTAAGGAGACCTCCTTCTCTGGCTAAAGGGGCATCCCTTTAAACAAAGATGAGCAGACTGATCCAACTCTGAAACTTCCTCTCACTAGCCACTGTGATTTCCTATTTCCATGAGTAATGTATTTCCTGCAAAGATCACACCGTTTCTCAGAGCAACGCTATTAAGAGACATCCTTCTGCTTGAGCTTTCTTTGTGTGTGTGTGTGGGTTTTTTGTTATTCTTAACAGGAACAAAGCTAATTTCAAAGCATTAGAGTATGTTGTCTTTTTGGCACAAAACTGACAGATGTTCCATATGCTGAAAATAAACCTTAATGCTATTCCTGGGCTGCCCTCAGTGAGCTTTGCCTTTTATTTTTCATAGCATGGGAAAAACCTGGGTCAAGGTGAAGGTTTAGAGGATTCAGCAGATAGTTGTTTCTCTGCTGCAGTCTAGGAAATGTTCATCTGGCTCTGCTCCTGAAGTGTGAGTGCAGCACATCAGCAAGTTACTGAAAAAGGAGCTGGACAGACACATGTCACAGGAAGTGACATCCTAAAGCGACATAACAGTTCTGAAAACTGAGCAAAACTGAGGCAAATAAAAAACCTGCATCCCAGTGGCTGAAGATATGACTGGTGATGAGTGGAAGGTGGCCCTGTCCAGGGCAAGGGTTTGGGAACTAGATGGTCTTTAAGGTCCCTTTCAACCCAAACCACTCTGTGATTCCCTGATGCTCATGAAAAGGAGAACACACATGCTGTACCTTCCCAACAGGTCCCCCCACAATTCATTTACCTACAGATCCTTTGTTCAGCAGAAGCAGCTCAAAAACAGCTCTTCCAAAACATAACTAAAATACTCACCTTTGAAACCAATGGAATTTTGTTCCATCAAACTAAGGATATACAATTTTAAAACTTACAAAACCCAGTGGATTGTCCCGGAGAACCCAAATTCCAGCATGCTTATTATTAAGCCACAATGGCAAAAATAGTAAAATCTATGAAAATTTATGGTTAATTTTCATTTACCCAGGAAAAGCCATGAACTAACTACATTTTGCAATGCAAGTCCTGACGAGATTATTCCTTTCCAACACGGAGCTTGACACCAACTGCTCATGCCAGTCTGTGCCCCTAATCTCTGTGTGCATAAATATCCAGATACTACTATTTCTACTATTAATAATGATAATAAAAATACCTCCCCCACATCGGGCCCAGTGAGAAATCACAATCTGAAAGCATTTCAAAAGCTGTCAACCATGAAAATCAATCAGTGCTGACAACCTCAGCTGAAACAGGGCTCATGGAGGCAGTTTCCAGCATCACTGGAGAGCTGCCAGCTTAATCCCCTCGCTGTAAACACAGTGTTGGGAGCGCCTCTGACAAGGGAAAATGAGCAGATTACATGGGGAAGTAACAAGCTTGAACTGCACCACGTCATGAATGGCAGGGTGGAAGGGAGAAATCAGCCTCCCTTTCTCTCCCAAATTATTTGGTTTTGGCCAATCTTTGAGTAACTCTTCAGCAAGACAAGTTACCCCTCCCCACATTACTACACCCTTACTCTAGAAATAAGGTGGTGATGGTAAGAGATAAACTCTTTTGCCGAGTCCAACAGAAAATAAGCCATTTGCAAATTCTCAGCTTCTCTCAGCTTCACAGTACCATACTGATCCATGCACTTGACAGCCACGAGAAGAGCAGGTTTGGTTTGAGTTTCAGGAATCACTCCATCCCAGGCAGAACACTACACGGGGGGGCCTGCTGGTTCTCCTGCCTTCTCTGACCAAGAGGCTGTTGAGTCCTCTGGGCTCTCACTTGGGCCATCCAGGAAACAGTATTTAAAGGGAGTAGATGGTCATTGAATTGGACATGCAATCAAACTGATTACTCACCACAGCTTTCAATATACAAGGTTCTCTTAAATGAAACTGGCACTTTTAAGTCTCATTTGTTCACCCTTTCTTACGCTCGTGACCCCTTTGAAACGGTGCTCGCTTGATACAGTGAGAAACCAAACCCAAATCCAATAAGGAAAATCCCACTGATCATTCACAGATTTGTGTCATTACTTACATACCATCCAGATGTGCTCAGATATTTCTCGACCCCATGGTTTCACCAGCACTACAACCAAGCCAGTTACTGCTCTCCCTCACACTCACACGGCCTTTGCTCTGTTGTGCAAACAGCTGGCAGTTGTTCTCTGAGAATTAGTCCACCAGCCAGAAACTGCAATTATTTTACAAGGCTTCCTCCTTGATTTAAGGGCCTCACTGAAAGGAATCCGTTCAGAGGTCCGTGTGCCGCTGGCATCAGCCGTGCCTGCTCCCAGGGGTTGCTGCAGACAGTGCATAAATGAAGGAAACACCAAAACCCTCCAACGCCCTCCGAGTTTTTGTCTTTGCTGTTGGACACCAGGGATTTATGATTTCAATGGTTGTATTTTTTCAAAAACGTCATGCTTTTGAACAAAGAAATGAACCCTTCAAAACACTGCTTTACATGCCAGTTCTCACCCAACAGCTGTTACAGATAATATTCATGCCTTATTATTATTCATGAACGTTCAACTGAACCATTTTTTTGTTTCCACAAATGTTAGGGAAATGGCTGCTTTCTCCAGAGCTGAAAGGGTGTTTGTGCAAGAACAAGAATCCCTATTATTACCTTAATGGTCACTATTCTCAGTTGTTCATTTCCTCCCTTTAGAAATTTAAATCATGCAATCAGAACAGAGCACCACCACCACCTCACTTGTAAGAGACTCACTCCCAATTCCAGAGAGAAAATTATTCTAACAGGCTATTTCTACAAAACTGTTTATCCAAACTACTCTGTGAATCAATGTCATGTTTGTTGAAATGAGAAGCAGTAAAATGGCTTGGAAAACAGTTAGTCCACAGTGAACACCGGCATTATTTTTTATCAATAAGCTAGTGATCAGCTTTATTTCTGAACAGCTCTGCACAACCAGACAGCATGAGAGTGGGAACTGGGGGTGAAAGGAGGAGGATCAGAAACTCCTTGAGGAGCTTGAGAAAAGCTCGACACTTTTAGCTCTAAGTATTTCCTTTTCTACTGAACTTTTAGTGAACATTATCCATCTTAGGGAGTTTAAATTAAATTTAGTAGGGTATTTTCATACAAGAATCTGGCATTCTCCAATCTACTTATACGGCAAATGGATTTATGTGATGCACAAACAGCAGCTTTACACCTGTAACGCATCAGTAGGAGAAACAGGTATTTTTCACCTCTTCTTCAAACTTGCTTTCATGCTTGATAAACTAAAGACTTCCCTATTTGAAAAGCTTCTTTAGAATAGCATTTGAGCAACAAAGTTAATCCTTGCTCTCCCTACATGCCAGGAAAACAAATCTTACGACTTATTCTGAAACTGAAAGAAGGTTCAGATTAGATATGCGGAATAAATTCTTCACTGTGAGGGTGGTGGGTCCTGGCACAGGTTGCCCAGAGAAGCTGTGGCTGCCCCATCCCTGGAGGTGTCCAAGGCCTGGATGGGGCTTGGAGCAACCTGGGGTAGTGGAAGGTGTCCCTGCCCATGGCAAGAGGTTGGAACAGTATGAGCTTTAAGTCCCTCCCAACACAAACTCATTGAATTCCAAGAGCCTCCCTCACCTGTGTCATTGGTCACCTCGGTGTTTTCCTAAGCCGAAAGTGTAGATTCAGAACCAAATCTGTCTCAAAAAAGAAACTTCAGTGGGTGCAGAGGTGGGAAAACTGCTTTAAACACAGATACAGGGTAGGGATGGTCGCTTTTCTTAGGAGCACAAAGGCACACAGAAAACTGCACATGGATCTGTGCTGGGGTCTCTCAGCAACACATTCCCAGCCAATATGAAAACAGATGGCTCATGACACCAAGTTCACAGGTACCAGAACATCAAGACAGGAAAGAGTATTTCAAGGAGTTGCAGAAAGGCCTTACTACACGTGTGAGGAATAAAAGGGCAGATGAAACTCAGGTAGAAAGATGTCAAATAATACACACAATGTAATCCTAACTCTACATATGCTGTGATGGGCTATAAATTGGTCATTTCAGAACCCAGCCTTGAGAGTTAACAAGACTGCTGAATAAAAATGCCAGTTCGGTGCTCCCTAACTGTCAAAAAGCAAAGACAGTTACAGGAAGTAAGAACAGAAAAGCAAACATGGAATGGTAACTCTGATGGAAGTACAGACACAGACATTTCTTACCATCTGAAAAAGGATGCACCTGAACTAGAAAACACTTTCAGCCTAAAATAGAGATAAATAAGCAGGCACATGGATGAGGGCTATGGAATGTTGTGACACAGCAGATTCCTGGAGATCAGCTGCCCACTGTACCTGGGACTGGAACGGGGGTGGCAAATGGAACTTGCAGGTGGCCAATTCACAAGGGCTGGGGAAGTGGTTCTTCCCACAGTTATTTACTTAAGACAGTGAAACTCATTTTCACAGACGCTGGAAGTGCTAAGAAAATTAAATTAGAAAAATTAATGGAAGTAACAGTCAAAGGTGTCACCTCTGACTCTGGGAAGTCTTTGAGGATGCAACACATCTACGATGATAATGATATTCTTGCCCTGTCCTGGGGCTATTTTGCAGGCTTTCAGTCTAGTTGCTGTTGGATATAGGGCCTAGGCAGACCCTCATGGTCTTAACAAACATAACACAACTTACTCAAAACAGATTTAAACTGTGTTTTAGTACGATATCTGTATCCCACTGAAGAACCCTTCAGTGGGGCTGATGTAGGGAAAGGCCCCTGTAAGAAAAAATGGAAGTATGACAGTTTCAACATGTTTATAGATCTGTTCTGTTGCATTTGGATACAGAAAGGACCTAACTTTCAGAGTGACAAGAATGTTCTTACATTATGGAAAAGTAAAATCAAAACAGAAGCCTAGAGAAAAATAATTAAAACATATATCTCCCCTGTCCAAATTAAGTCCATTACAACAGCATTGCCACAGTGAGGTGTCTGAAGCTCTCAGCAGCTTTGCTTGGCAGGCTGAAAAAACAAGAATCTTTCCTTTGTAATGCATGTAGGATAAATCAAGCACAGTTTTGCTATTCTCAACTGTGTGACCTGATGATCACCTTCTGTAAGTTATTATCCACTCGTACCTTGCACTATCCTTTCATCAGCCATATCATAAGGATACAAGCTTATTCTGGCTGGAAAAGCCTATCCACCAAACATACTTCTGTTCTTTCTATGATAACCTGAACAATACCCCCAACCACAATCAAATAAGAAGCTTGCACTGAAAAGATTTCCCCTAGTCTGCAAGTGCAAATGGCAGTGATAAAAAGGGAATTTAGAACGAAAAATCCAACCCCTAGGATACCAATGGTGGAAAAGACAAAGCACTAGAAATCAAGAGAAATACCTCTGTGATTTAGAGAAAATACATAATTAAAAAAAATTTGGAGAATCCCATGCAATGAAGGCAAGAATCAACTGTGTGTGCATTGGGCAGCCCTCAATTCCCAGGAGGATTCCAAGCTACCATTCATATGCTGAAGAGATTTCCAAGAACCAATTAAATCCCAACAGAGGGAGTGGAACACAAAGAGGGAGAAAAGGAACCTAAACCCCTGAAACTCCAATTTCCAGCTGCAGGCTGCCACACACCTGCAAAGGTGGGAGCAGTGAGGCCGTAGGACAGGCAAGGAGGACAGGGCAGGCAGGAGGACAGGGCAGGCAGGGAGGACAGGGCAGGCAGGGAGGACAGGGCAGGCAGGGAGGACAGGGCAGGCAGGGAGGACAGGGCAGGCAGGGCAGGCAGGGAGGACAGGGTAGGCAGGAGGACAGGGCAGAGTCCTGGGCTCAAGCAGGGGCCCTGCTGGCTGGGCTGGGGGCTCAGGCTCTGGCTGCAGAGCCTGTCAGCCTGAGCTCTCTGCTCCCCACTAATCATCTGGTGCAAACCTGGGCTTCAGGAGAGTGCCTGACATGAGAGCCAGGATCTAATAAAACCCTGACAGACTGAAAGTGAAACAGCCTCCTGCCTGTCTCGCTCCTTCCCTTTCAAATGTGGGGTAAAGGTTGGGGGAGAACAAAGAGACATCAGTGATTGGTAACAACTTAATACCTTCGTGCAGCTTTATCAGGCTTTTTAACTAATGACTAAAGCAACTTCACCTCTACAAAATCAATCATCATGTCATAGAAGTCTGAAACACTACAAAATTAAGTGCCTGCCCCAGGGATATAGAGCATGTGTCATGTTTAAAGTGAATCTTAATTCTGCTGGGGGTCCCTGGATGTTACTTTTTACTTTCATGTTCCTTGGAGATATTCAGAGATGAGGAAAGACATGGCAAAAGAATCCAGAATTCATGCCTTCCCTTAAAAAAATGATTCAAGTAATCCTTTAACTCACTTATCAGAGCTGTGTGCTTATCAGAAAAGTGAACTCAGTGATCTAAATAATTTAACCAGAAATACATGAGCGGAACAAGGCTGCAGCAGTTGAACAGGATGGACAACACACCCTGCTTCTTCCCCAAGATGCTCAGCCTTTAACAGAAAGGCAAACAAACCCCACGTGTCACCTCCTGAATCCTCACTGTAACCACTTCAAACTGACTCTTCTTTTTAATTTTATCAATTAAAAACAGAGGGTCTGGGAGCCACCATCCTCAAATCCAGACAAGGGCAAGCAGGTGAAGTACGGGTGGTATTTGGTAGGTACAGCATTCCTGTTTAAGGGCAGATGAGTAGAATCAAGGTTGTGCTTCTACAACAGGTGCCTGTAGGTAGAAAATTCCTTGAATTTCACTGGGCAACTTTCACCTTCCTCATGATACTGTGTCGTATCAAGTTAGTTTTGACATCAGTGCCTTACTCTGGATTGCACCGGCAACGTGATTTAGTCTTTGTCACTCAAAGATACTGAAGATGGGTATCCACTTTTAAGAGGGAAATAACTCAGAAATTTTAAGAAAATGACTGATGGCAGGAAAGAGAAAGGTCCAATTTAAAATAAACAAATAAGTTCCTAATTTAGGACTTGGCAGCTCTTTTCCCTGCTAGCAGAGAGAGAAAAATTATACTATCCCCCTCTCTTCTGTACATAAAAAAGAAAACAAAAACTTCTGCATTTAGGCTCACATTCTCTGCAGCCTCTTCCTCCTGGCAGAAGGGCAGAGGGAGGGCTATGAGTAGCACATGGGCCTTTGCCTGGTCCTCGTGCAGGTGCAGCCCTGTCCTCCTGCACCACTGAATCACTCACACCTTTCTTCCCTCTTATGCCATTTAGACAAAAGACTCTTCTAATTTATGAAAAGGAAGATTTTTCTCAAATTGGGTCAGACACCTAAAAGTGTGATCAAGGCTTAACTTCCTAAGCAATTTAAAAAAAAGAACATCACATTCTCGTTCAAGTTTTTGTAACCCCTGACTAGATATTTATGTGACAATGACTTCAACCACCATTATCAATGGCTGTTGCACACAACCAGATGAGACCATGAGGGCTTTTCTCTACAGACAGAAGAGGTGGTATCTGTACAGTGCTTTGAGTTTTAAACTGTTTCTATTTCAGTCCTGTTTGCAACCATACTAACCTTTTAACAGCAGGGCTCCTGCCAAGGATCAATTACTTGCCAGGGGATTTTTTTTTAAAGCTCAAATTTGATACAAGCCCTGGATTCTTTTTCCCCCCTTTCATACAATATATAATTCCAAGCCCTCACTGTTCACAAACTTTCCAAGAACTGTATTTAGACAAAATGTAAACTGGCATATTTTCCATTCACTTCATGGAAATATTCTGAACCACTTTTGCAAGCAGCTGAAGATGTGCTTTTATCTTGCCATGAAGTCATAAAGTTTAATTTTCAACATCACAGTTGCTTCTATGGCAACAGATGGTGACATCAAACACAGGATCATGACTTCACTATAGGATCAAGAAGGATTAGCTTTGCACTGAGGAAGTTAAGATCTAATGCAAACAAATAGCTATAACAACTGCAAAGGGAATTTACAGCGGGATAGTTTACTCCTTGTGTAAATGTTCTTCTTGTTTACTCCAGTATGAAAATCCCTTTAAATCAACCAGCTGTTTGTAAATTAAGCACAAATGGATTAGCTTAAAACAAGTTCAAAGGTTTAAGATGGGGTTTGCACACATACCCAGTTGTGAGCCTAGAACTTCCACTGACACTCAGAGAGAAGAGGCCAGAATTACAGTATCGCTCCCTCTCCATAACCTCAAGGACTTCCACCTGCCTTAAGCAGGCTGTAGTGTGAGTGCAGCACACTTGTGTTTAATTTTGAGCACAGCTTGTTATCCCAGAAAACCTTGTGGGGGCAGTTATTTAATTACACAATATATTATCTTCCCTAAGAGATTCCTTAAATGGATGAATTCCCTGGCCTTTCACCTTTCCGTTGCCAAAATGGGACCAAACAGAGTGGTCCCAGCTTGAAAGGCCCCTCTAGAGACACCTATTTATTACTAATGTCCCTAGCTAGAGCCAACCCTGGGTGGGACAGCATGTGCAATCAAAGAATCAGCTTCCCCTGAGGAAAAATATGGAGATGGATCTCTCCAGGACACAGCTGAGTCTGATGGTGGGATATGGAAATCCACATTCTGCAGCTGTTGCAAGGACTCTTGCAGGTGGGAGAACAGACAAAAGCCTTACAGCAGCAGCTCAGGGGGGGAACTGCCCCTAGGGAACCACCTTACAAAAAGCTCTGACCCAATTCTGCTCCTCTTTGCTGGGTTCCCAGGCACAGCCCTCAGCACGTTGATTCTGCTCCGTGTGAACCCTGAAGTGCCACACACACGCTGAGCCGTGTGACTGCTCACCCACTGACACACGACTTCATCACAGGACATGCCAAGTCTTTCAACAAGTGGGATTTAACTTTCTGAGAAGTTTTCAAAGGGATTCTGCTGGACTATAGCATCCTCTGTATCTCCCCAGACAGATTTTACGCTGAAACAGTGCCAGCTTGGACAGCTCTGCTGCCAGCAGAAGCACTAAGTTGGGCACTGTGAGCATCCCCCCCATGGCAAGAACCGCCATCGGGGGGTATAAAGGTAACTCTGACTTCACGCCTGGTCACTCTCATGCCTCTTTGTTGAGATGCCAACTGGGGTATGAAATTCTGTTCCACTATCAGAGTCTTCTTTTCTGCAGACACATCAATTAGACTTCTAGTCCTATTGCATAAAGCAGATTACGTTGATTAGCAAAGCCCTTGAGGAAGGGTAGACTTTGAGCAGTTCGCTCCAGAATCAAAGCCAGGCAATAGCTGCAGCACACAGCAGGGCAACAGCTCATTTTAAGCCTCACCATCCATCTCATAGGTTTGTAAGTGCTCTCTACTTTTATTAGAGGACTCGGCAGACTTTGTTGGACTATCCTTACCAGAGTTAATAAGCATTAACTTACAGTAAGGGACTCACCCAGGCAAATACATTCACTTTGCATATGCACAATTAATATAACACCAAAGCAAACCAGGAAAACAATAGCACGAGGGACACTATGGATACTGATCTAGTGGGATTTATTGCTTACATTCACTTCCAAGCACATTTAGTTTGAGGTGACAGATATTTTGACCTTCTGGCACACATACTTATGTGATAACATGAAATCCTTCAGTCTGTATTTATCACCTCTAGTTTTCTTTTCCTGCCACTCCTCAGTTCCAATCAACTTCCCTGGTGTTCCTACTGAGCTCAGCTCCTATCTCAGTAACACTATTAGATACTGTCTCCTCTCCAAATACTTCTAAGAGGAAGACAAAAGCTAAAAACTTGTTGGCCAGAACTAAAAGCATTTTTTATCTCAAAACAATAATCATTCAGTGAAATAAAAGACTGAGAGAGAGAGGAGAAAACCGAAGAAAGGCAGAAACCCTCAATCAAGCTGCAGACATTTGACAAGCCATTTAAATTCTGTGCCTCAGCACCAAGAAGCAAATCATGGTGATAACACACCCTCTGCCCCCCTCCTTGCCTGTTGGGTTCTCAAACAGGGTGCTCTGGGTGATACACACAGCAGGCTGCTCTGCCTGAAGAACACGGCAATTCCTCTGCCAGCTTTCTGCAGGCCCACGAGGCAACCAATGGCTCCATCTAACACTGCCTGGGAGAGCAGAAATAGCAGAGACTGCAGAAGCAAGTGTGCTTCAGTGGTGTGGAGGAAGAAGAGACAAGGAGATGTACATATGTGGATCTTTTAGCAATTAGCCCAAGCAACAGGAGGAACAGCCACCGAGCACACAATGAACAGACGCTGAAGGCACCTACAGGAAGGGCCGATTTGCAGAAAACTATTTTGCAACATCTGCGACACCTAGAAACATTAAAACTAACATGTAAGCGTTCCCCAAATGGTGGGCAGGTTCTCCTGGGATGAGCTGTGTGCAGGAGTCTCTGGTCCAATTCACCTCTAGGTCTGAGGAGGAGGAGTATCATTCCTTCCCCACCAAACTGAAAGCAGGAAAAATGACAGTTCCTACACAGAAAGCAAGGAATGGTGAGGGATGAACTCTTCGGGGGAGGCTACAGAAATACATACTAAAGTCCCTTCCTAAGAGAAATCAAGCCTGAGCTATTAGAGGAGAGAGCCCAGCACTTCATGCATGAGGATGCTGCTGATGAGTAATGGTCAGTAGCAGTGCTGCTCTGGCTGTGTTTAAACACACACTCAAAAATTATAAGGATGGTTTGTGGCCTTTGGTTTTGCTAAAAAGACAAGTTTAAGATCCAAGTTCTTTCAGCGTTTCTCTAATGGCTCTTAAAATGAATTAGGTGCCTGCATTTGACCCACTTCTACTCACTGCTCCAAAAAAGCAATGCATCCTCCGAGTGCTGACCAGCAGATGAACCCAGGGCTGAGGCTCACTGGATCCACCTCATATAACAGTGCTTATTCAAGTGTGACCTCCAGAGGCTCAGATCCCCATTCATATTTCATATTCCGCAGATGTTTTTCCCCCCACTTTTGCTGCCTGGTTTTAATGCATCACTGGGTCTCCGTACAACCCCCGCTAAAATATATCTTACTTTTTGTTGTAAGCAGGCAACCAGGTGAAAAGCAAAACTGAAAGGCCTGACAGGCCCAGCTTCCCACTGACATACTCCCTTGTTTATGTCAAAAACCAGGGGCTGTAAGTGACAAGGAAGCAGCAGAGAGTGGAGGGTGCCCAGAATCATTTAAAAGGCAGCAGTGGCATGACAACCTTCAGCAGGCCAGAGTCAATGTTTGTCAGGCTGGGAGGGTGGGATTGCATTAAGCTGAATTTCATTAGGAAAAAATAATACTCAGAAACTATTAAGGGGTCCCATGTGGCTGCTTCACCACATTTAATTTAATGTCTTTCCTCTCCAGCGACCAATCCACCCCCCACTTTCTTACAAATGATGACTTGTGGGTCTTAACCTTACAAGTGAAGATACGTTTGGCCCATTAGTTACCCTATTTAAAGGCTTTTGTTAACTTATAGTAAAGAGCTTGAGCCACGGTTTTACACTGGGGCTCCAGATCAGAGAGGCAGATGGTGTCATAAAAACACCTCCCCCTACCCTTTTTATGCAACTTCTGGTGTGTAATCGACATTCACTCTTTATGTACCATTTTCTAGGCACCACGTTATCCCCACAGATCTCGAGCTGGGGCAGTGAGTGTCTGAAATGCTGGTTATGAGGAATGCCTTGGGCAGAGTGTGTGTTGGAAGCTGGTGTTACTGGCCTATTTCTTGGCCAGAACGTCCCAAACAGCAAAACCCAGACTCCAAATGCAAAAGCCTCATTGAATATGTAAAAATTCCATTTGCATTTCAGGAATTAGAAATGAAATAAAAGACAGAAACTACTTCATCTACAATACAGCCTTGATGCTACAGTGTCTTCTATGTCTGTTTTAATTTTTAAACTTCCTGTTCTTATTGCCCAGAACCAGTATGCCCAACAAATGTCTGTATTTTCCCCTTCCAGAAAGAACTGCAGGAAAGATAATAAATCCTGACTCTGTTGGCTACAGAAGAGGATTTCCCAGTAAGCTGCAAAGTTCACAACCTTCAAAATTCATCTCTTAAGAGTGATAGATGACTCAAAAATAACATCTGCAGAATTAAGGAATGAAAAAAAAAATCCTAACACAAGCAAGTCTTTCTTTTACATTACTTTTCTGAAAGGCTAAAGGAGAAAAGAACCCACAAATCCCAAGTACTCAGTACTGAGGAGTGTCAAGAGGCAACACACACGTTCATTAATAACAATAATAATTAATGAACAACCACTTTAGATATCCTGTCTCACAGTCAATGAGTAAGATCCCTACAGAAAAGGTTCCCAAAGTCTGGTCCGTCTGATTTTCAGAAGGAAAGGAGAGTATTGTGACTTGCTGGTAACACATCTAAATTACAGAGCCACGTTAATTCCATTGCTGCTTAGCACCAGCAGAACACCACTTCTCTCTTTGTGCCCTGGCTGCAAAGCCCAGTGTGGTCACTGGCTGATAAGGGGCTGGAGGCAAGATCCTGCCCACCAGTCTCACTTGCTGAGCTCTAATACCATGGCATGTACAGCAATGAGCTTTTATTGATTTTGCATTTGGACCTGCCTCAAACACTCAGGCCGTCTCTCTACAGGAAAAAAAGATTATGTGGGAGTGTAGGAAGGACAAATCTGGTGCTAAAAGTAACAGAAACTGAATAAATGGTATTTCAACACTTCAAAACAAATTGTGCTCTTTCTCTAAAAACAGAAAAAAAAATGCTATAAGAAAATAAAATATACAAGGGAACTAATAGAAAGTAGTGATGCTGAAACACAGAAGGAGCTACTGAAAAGAGACATTGGCTCAAATTTTCAGCTGACTCTGTTCCAAGAAACTCCCTTCCTGTGATCGCTCTCCGTACCCACAGTCAATTCTGCTGGGCTGTGGGTATGCGCTCACCAGCCCTGCCCTGCTTGTTTCCCATGGGAATACCTAACCCAGCCAACACGGGAAAACCATGCTGTGTGCATCCTTCCCCCTTCTCAGCACAGGCATTGTGGGAGAGTCAGCACAGCCACCAAGGCCTTGAAAGGTGTCCCGGAGGAAGTGGGGACCACACTAAGCTGCTTCTGTGACTCTCTCAAAACTGAGACTGGAGGGAAAGCCTGCATTCCTTCAAGGGTCAGGGAACGGGTTCTGCAGGAACCTGGGAGCGACGCTGCCAAAAACCTCAACAGCCAGAGCGCCCAAGGAACAGCCCATAGCCTGACTGCAAGCAACACCATCAGCTCATGGGATCTGTGCCAGGTCTACAAGATGCCCTGGGCTGCCTTCCAAATTAGAGAACAACCCAGTCCACAGAGTCTGTCAGCAGCACAGTCCCAGGGGACCATGGGCTGCCAGGACCAAGCTGCTGCCCGTATAGGCTCAGGCAGAGCTGATGTAACCACACGGCTGCAAGTAAAGATCTTCCTGTGTACCTAGACCAGGCACCAGTCTGAACACGCAAGCCCCAGACTGTCAGTCTAAGAATCTCTTTCATAGCACAAAAATCAGTGGTGACTGCCCCAGCTGAAAAACACAACAGCTCATCGTGGAAAGTCACTCTGTAGAAACCCATCACTCTGGACAATTGCCCAGCAGCTAAATGTCCACAGGTGGACAGACCCATTCCTGGACCCTGCTCATGTAATGACTGCCAGGAGCCCTGTGTTCCCTCGGCTTCCAGGTTTCAGGGACAGCCTGGATCCCACAGATGCAGAGGTGCAGGTACAGCTGTGCCAGGTGCAGAGCAATGGCAGAGTGCTCATTTGGAAAGCTCAGAGCTAGGCAGAGATTAATGACCCACAATGATAGTGCAATCAGCAGCAGAGGTATCATCATCTCTGCCTCTTTTTTGCACACCATTTATAAAAGCCAGGGCAAGGTATTTAACAGCACCTGGGCTCAAAAGACCATAGGATTTGCAGTGCAGCTGGAATGACAAGCAATACCTGGGGCTGTGATTTACCTGCCTGCTGCTGGCACTGGCGACCCAAACTGGAGTGTGTGCTCTTTGCACGACTGCACAGGGAGATGGAAAGTACCAAAGCCTGAAACGGGACACAGTCAGCATCTGTATTTTTCAATTTGTGATCCTGAGGTCAGACTTCACCTGTTCTATACAAGCAATCTTCCTCACCCCTTTTGCTATAATTTGTTTTAGTTCATATGAACTTGTGAGAGGAAGTTCAATAATTTGTGAAGCAGTGATGTATAGAGAACTCGCTGCAGGCTACTAATAGGTTATTAATAGAGCAAAAATTGCTGCAGATTAGAGTACATAAGCATGCTGCCTAATTGCAAAGCAAAACGTCTATCACGCTAAATATGTGGCACTTGAAGTGAAATACGTGTCCTGAAATCTTGGTTTTCTTTGCACCGCTTATCAACTCCATGTCACGTTAATCCACAGAAGGAGTCGTGCAACAGTGGGGAAATTCAATGAGAAGGTTTTAAAGAAGAGGTAACATGCTAATAACATAATCCTGCTTTCTATTCTGTCAGGTAAGCTGGAGTCTTGGAGACCCTGGAAAGGTGTTTTATGCTAAGCAAATGTCTGACATTTCTCCTTGCTCTGCAAAAATTCAAAACAAAACAAAGAGATGGATTCAGGTCTCACAACTGATTAAGTTCACCAGAACTGTGCTTAAAGACTCTGAAGACACCCTGTTACCAAGACAGATTCAACTCTACCTAAAACTTTACTGATAGCACATTTTCCCAGACAGCCCATAAACTCTAAGTAAATTCCCCCACACCCCCCTCTAGGAACCTATTCCAGTGCCTAAGTTCACCACTTTTTCCAGTATAAGCACAAGTTCCAGGGCTGAAATGTAAAATCATTCATTCTTGGGTCATGTTTCCCTAGTACTAGAACATGTAACACCAGCCCCTCACAGCACCAGCAAAAGCTGCAGTGGTTGAGCTGACAGCAGTTGCTGCTGTTGTCACGGGCTGGTCTGCACATTATCCCTCCTCCTCCATCCCAGCCCTTGCCTGTTTGTCTCCTCCTTGAATGAGATGACAAGTTTAAGCTGAGGCAGTCACTAATTACGTGGTTTGGTTTGAAGCTAGCCCAACACAGGAGCTAAAATAATCAAGACTTTTCAGAACTACTACAGTAGAAATGATGCACAGCCCCCAGCAGAGCTGTCTCCTGCCCAAATGTGCCTCCTCTTTGTCACTGCAACTCTGAGCAGGGCTGGGAGGCCCCACAATGGCACAACTGCTCTGACAGCGACATCAGCAGCACGAATGATGACCTCTTTCTCCTGGCCAGACTGGCACCCAACTCCACACACGGGACAG